CATGAGATTGCAGTGACTGAGGTTCAAGTGATTGCACTGAAAATTGATCCATTGGTTGTCCTGGGCCTTCTGTTCGTGGTTGTACTGAAACATGTTTGGCCCTTTCTTCTTGGTCTAAAACTTGGATGTTTTGGCAAATCGCCGTGGCAATCGCAAGTTTGAGCCCTGGGGCCCATGCAGACCAAGTCTTGGAAGTTGCACATCTTTGTTCCATGGCCATCGCTTTGTACTTGTTGGCCATCTCAGCTTCATTTGGTGGAGCTCCTCTGACCTGATCCAATTGCATCATCTCTGGCACGTTGGTGGCCATAGACGTGGGTTTCCTCTTGGAGTGTCCCATTGGAAACTGGTCAAAGCTCAGCAGCTTCAGGTTGTAGGTCTCCGCCAATGCTTTCCACTCAGCGGTTTGAAACAGCGAGAAGTACTTGTGCTGCTGGACATCTTGCTGACTCCTGTAGTTGGCCGGATCCTCTGGCTGCTCCATGAAGAACTGAGTTGGAGGCAAAGAAACATCTCGTACCTCCTCCGCCACCATCAGCAAAGACCAAAATCTGAACACCAGGACTGAGTCTCCAATCACAAGCTCCTTGTCGCCAGGTGCCAACGTTGGAAGTCCATAAGGGTGCTCTTATGTTCTCAAAATTCCAGGTCCTTGATCTTCTTGATACCTCAGCGCTGACAGTGTCCTGCATGGAGGGCCTCCAAGTATTGCACGAACTCGGCCGCTTGCGCACAACATCAAGAGGAACCCATACACATTGCGATCATGAAGATTTGCTGCCGTTGACAAAGTCGTGTCAATGCACAGGACCTCTGTTGATGCACTTGCACACTGCTTGTCCCAAAACGCTTGATCTGGGCCAGAAAACAGATGTAGTATCACATGCTTGGCCTTCATCAGACGTCGGCGTTTGTGCCTATTCCATGGGAGTCGACTGCCAAAGTCCTCCGTTTTGATCATCTCCAAATCTGGGATCAACTTCATCATCACCTCATCAGGCAAGTTTGGAAACTGCTGTCGCATCATAGCAGTAAGTGCCATGTCCAGGTTGATGCGGCTCTTGTCGATGGCAGACTCATCAGTCAGCAAAGTTCGCACCATCATCAACTTGCGCTTCTGATACACATGGTATAGTTCCAACCATTGTAGAAGGCGTCGTCCATCTTCCAACGACACCATGGGACATCCATTTTGCACCTGGACATCAATGTGTCGGCCTTCATCATCCTGCAAGGAGCACTGATTGCCTGACCATCGAAGCACAAAGTCCAGCTCAGCCAAGCCGCCCATAGGGATGATCCATGCTGGTCGTTGCCCAGGCTCTGACAAAAGCATCTTCGTCCCAGGTTTGAGTCGAAACCGGGTGGTGGATCCTTCAGCCAACATCACCGTAGTTCCCTCCGCCTTGTTCCACTCATCCCAGTCTTCAGCTGGCCGAAGTGCATGTGTGGCACCTGAGTCGATGAGCACCACCGCTTCATCAGCTTGATCTATCCCTGAAAGCTGCATGACCTTGAGCTTCGGATTGTTGTCAGAGATTCGCAAAGTCTTCAGCAGTTGTGTCGCCTCATGAAGAAGCTCTGCTGTCTTGGTTCCACTTGCATTTTCATTGCTGCTCCCCCCACTACGGCCTCCATCTTTGTCTCCACTGGTAGTTGAGCTCGTCACTTCAGGAGGTACTGGAACATTCAATCCTCCTTCAGAGGTTGTTGCTGTTGCACCTTCTTCGGAAGACTTGGCCACTTTGACAGCTGCAGCTCCAGCTTTTCCTCCTGGTGCACTTGGTTTTGAAGTCGAAGTAGAGGAAGTCAACGTTGAAGTGGCATTGGAAGCCCCAGCTCCCGTAGAACCACGTCCTCCCCCTGAGCCACCACTTGGCTCACCCTGCTTCTTGTTCACGGCCTTCAGGCGGCAGTCACTCTTGATGTGGTCTTTTCCTCCGCAAATCCAACAACGAGATGACTTGTCCTCCACGCCGTCCCAAGAGTGCGACCACTTGCAAGTTTTTCCGGCACGACACCCTTGTCCTGACACAAAGTACTTGCAGGGTTTGTCAATGGTTGCTCCAGGCTTCGGTTTGTTGTCCGGAGTGGTACTTGATGAAGTCTTTTGATCACCTTGTAGTTGTTTCATCTTCAAAGGAGACTGCACTGTAGTTGCCGGAGCTGTGGTCAGAAGGCAAAGAGTCTCAGCTTCCGCAAGCAGACATTGACTGAAGGCCCAGAGGTTCTCATGCACAGGCTTCTCATCCAACTGAAGTTGCATCCTCGATTGAGCTAAGCGAAATGCCGCTTGAGGATCCAATGAAGCCAAATGCTGAATGGGTCCATCCAATGCCTTCAACAGCAAGACTCCATCTGGCAACACTGCTTGAACTTCTTGAGCTCGTCCAAAGTGGCGTCTCCAGTTTCTGATCGCCGCCGCCAGGTCGTGGATGCTCTTGGTGGCTGGGAGCGATGTCAGCTGGCTCAACAGCAGCTGCTTTTCGCCAGCTCCACCAGGTTGAAATCTCACCAGCAACTTGTACAAAATCGCTGTAGTTGACAGCGCCCGCTCCGTTACTAGAGCTTGTTGTTCGGCTTCTGGAATTGCCTTCAAAAGCATTTGGATGCCTCTCTGCTCCGTTCTCTGGAACTTGTGCTCTTGCAGGGCATCAGGCAAACGCGGCTCTATTTGGATCCGCTGAAGTGGTGTACTGTTTTTCCAACCTTCATAGTACACCTTGGCTTCCCTCAGTGTTGCTTCCCACCACCATCCAGCGATGCCACTGATGTCCTTCATCACAGGCGCTATCAGATGAAGCCAATCACCAAATTGAAGTGGTGTGGAATTGGCCGGTAGATCTGGCAGCTCGCCCTTATTGTTCATGTGGCCAGCTTGAGAGTCCACTGGCCAGGACTGCACAGGGCTTCCAAATTTGGATCCATCTCCCATTCCTCCTCCCCCCACATCATGACCTGGAAGGAGACAAGGATGTGCTGGACCTTTGTCATGTAGATCCCACTCATTGCCCACACCATGCAAAGCCCGACCGCGTCCTGGATGTTCACCATGCAAATCAAAAGCCCGAGCTTGTCCTGCTTGTGCACCATGCATGTGGAAAGCCCGATCGTGATCGCGATGTTCACCGTGCAAGTACGCAGCCCGAACTCCGCCTGGAACACAAGGCGCAGCTGCTGCAGCCCGAGCTTGATGTGATACATCTCCATGCAAAGCCCGACGCTGAAGATCAAGTTCACCACATCCGCCAAACACCATGCTCTGATGAGAACCAGCTACACCTCCATGCACAGCCCGATGCGGAAGGTCTCCAGTGCCACTCCCACCATGCAGGCCAAGCGATGTGCAGTTGGCTTCAGCAGCTGAGTGGTGACCCTTGGGATCTACTTTACCCCTGCTATCGAAACCAGCATTCCAAAACTCCGATTGTTGAAAGGCTAATGGAATTGAAACCCGATCGAGTGCCGTCTTCAATGACTGAACTTCCCTCTCTAGCCAGATTTGCTTTGCCTCACTAGCCGTCAGGCTATCAGTCCCCTCATTTCTCTCATTTTGGGGTTTCCAATTCACATCACCATTCTTGACCTTGACCTTTGACTCACAAGTGTCATAAAGGTTGCTGACAAAACTGTTTTGAAGATCACGCCCATCGGAAGGCTCCCCATGACAAACAGGAAATGGTGGAACCGGTGGCATGTCCTCCAACTGGCTTGGTGGCGGTCCTGATGGAACCTGAGTTCCGTTTGGAGTGAACCGCACATGCTCATGCCGTTTTTCAGGGCTCACCGCAACTTCTCTAACCTTGGACCTGGGAGTTCGACTTCCATTCCTACGTGGACGATCCTTTTGAGGGATCCCAACATCATTGGAACTCCTACTTGATGGTACGCCCCCAATTGTAGACCATGGTGAAGTCTCCATCCCAGAGTCAGCCTTGCCAGCTGACAACAACTCCAGTTTGCCCTTCAAAAACTCTACATCGTTCATGAGCTTCGAATTCTGTTCTCTCAAAAACGCTACTAGTTCGCCCTCAAGGGCTCTCTGCAGCTCGTCACCATTCAGCTTCCCTTCCATCTGAGTATTGCTAACAGACCCCATTGTTTGCCTTCCATCATCAGGCGGCATCAACCCCTCAGTCCTGGCTCCTCCACGGCCTTCTACTGTGGGTCGCGACTCATACAGCAAACCAGCCGATGATCCGCCACGACCTTTCCCAGTTTGCTCCGTAGACACCTGTTCAAACTGAGCTGCTCTTCCTGAAAGACCTGGCAAAGGAGGCCCTACATCATCACTCATTTGGTCAGTTGGTAAACCCTGAGGCCGACTAGCTTGAAGAACACATTCATCTTGCGCCTTCTGGGAATAAAAAGGATTCCCATTCCAGTCAGATACCCTCGATGGCAACGACTGAGCCCTTTCCATTGCAAAAACCAGCGAAAGTTAGAGGGCAGTCGTTGGGCTCATAACCCTCTTAACAGCAAGGACCGTTTTCCCTGCACTTGAAAGAAAATGCCTGTAAAAGCACGTCCAATGGTTCTATGATCCTATGTGCTCAGACCTGTAATTTTTCCCGAAAAAAAAACAATCCATTGATGGAGGAAACCCCAATGTTTGACGGAAACAAATATGGAGGGTTCCGAACTCATATGGGCACCCCAAAATCATCCAAGTCATTACACCATGATTTAGTATTGAAACAACCATGGTGACTTGGGTTACCCCCATTCTAGGAAACCACCAAAAGGTTTCAGTATGTTGCCTTTGGATTTCCATCAAAAATCATATAGCCCAGCAATCAGCGACGATCAAAAAGCAAGCAAGCATGGAACTGTGCGACCCGACAGGTGCACCACCAAGGCTCAAAGATTGCGCACCCATCAAAGTGATGTAGCACCTTCAAGTCATTTCACTTGAAAGTTCCGGACTGTTTTGCTGACTGAATCTACTGAATCTACTGAATCTACTGAATCTACTGAATCTACTGAATCTACTGAACTGCTTATTGACCTGAGCCTTCCAATTTTGTGCCCTTGGAAACGCCGCCATAAGCAAGCCACATGTCGGTCAGCGGAGTGATCACCAAGCGCATCGAGTTACCCAGGTATTCGTAGCCTGGTGGCAGTGGGTATACCTCCCATGTGGAATGATTTAAATTGACCCCCAGTCAACCCCAGTCACGGTTTATTATGGGATGGTTTATTATTGGTTTTACCATCTTTTACCACATTATTCTGGGCCACATGGTCCGAAACATCTTGGGAATCGGGCTACAATAACTCTATTTATAACTTTATCACGAACCCAACTGCTTGCTTTCATCGTTTTGTACTCAGGCTCAAGCCGTACGGGAAGGATGTCTGAACACATTTCACCTGCAGATCTGAAAAGCAGGTTTGACGCCTTCTTCGTACTGCTTCGCTTAAAGGGTCAGGCCCTGCAATCTTTGTGTCAGGTTCTCCACCGGAAACTAGGACCAAGGCCCACATGTTCTCTTGCTGGCGATCATCAACTTCCCAATAGTACCGCAACTGTGAGATCCATTCGAAGGAGGTCTGCAAGATGCGAAGGCCAAGAACTGGTCCAATTTCACAAATGAAATGAGATCCTACAGTACTATGTTACTATGCCATAGATAGCTAGGTGGCTTTTGAAGCGCAGGTACGAGGGTGTCTCTGCGAAATTAGACCAAGAACATCATCACTGTCACAAGGTCTGTCACAATCATATGGGACGGGCCTTGTCCCGGACCTGCTGCTCAACAAAGCCCCAAATCACATCCTATGCTCACAATGAGGCCCGTATCCATCGGAAAGGAGCCAGATCTTCAGAATCACACCATTCTACACCATGCTAGTGACTGTTGCCACTGCTTGAGTCGTTGCAAAAGAATCGGACTCCTTCGCATGGACATCAATGACAATGAGTGCATTCATCGTCTTCGTTTGCAGTTTGCTCACCTTAGCAATTGCATGGACTGAGTGACTACTGGATGTATATTGCATCATAAATCAGACTGAAACAATCTGAAACATCCACCAAGAATTTCGGGTTGGTGGTTTCAGCAACTCTTTCAACCCCCTAAAGCACCTCAGTTCTTAGGGATGGTCGAAAGCACCAAGCTCGGCTCAAACAGCTGAGACAACTACGCCCTTGCGGAGAAGCATGATCAAGTCCAGGATTTGCTGGGAGAGCTTCTTTGCGTACTGATCCAACTGCAGCAAAGTGCTGGAGGAAAAACCATGGAAAAAACATGGAAAAACATGTGTTTGCATTTTTCTGTATCACTCATGAGTCACTGACACACGGAAACAAGTGCTTCTCAAGTTGCCAAGATATGCTCTGCAGAGATTCATAGTACTTAGAGTCTGACAACATTGCCATCAAAGGCTTCCTCCACTTCTGAGGTCCAGAACACCTCCGAATAAGACTCCCACAAACATCACAAACTTGATTTTGCTCTCTGCGAATCTGCGTTTCTTAGTCCCTTTTCGGAACACAATGTTGACAGTCACACACTCAACTCCCATTCGCATTGCACAAGGACGACCCGAACCTGCGAGCCGTTCAGAACAATTTGGGCAGGATTCGCAAGCACCCAGTCAGTGCGATCCATGGTGTTGTAGGAACCTCAGCAAAAGGAAGGCAGGACGGAAGTTAGGAAGGCCAAGCCCATGATTTTCATGGACGATGAGGTGAGGCAGTCTTAAAATGGTCATAGTCATGAGTGGTCTGCTTAAGCTGGGTTTTTGGAACCTCCTCTGCAACCCCCACTGGGAGTCGGGCTGATTCCAACCTCGAGCGCGTTGCCTTAAACAGAAAATGTCTAGCATGATAACATATGCTCAAAGCTTCCAAAACAAGATGCTGCAGAAGTTGAACCTGCCGCATGAAACCTCCAACATCCTCCAACACATCGTCCAATCGTGTCCAATCCATGATGTCGACCGTAAGCTTCCCACGGATTGCCATGCACATCCCATCCTGCAGGTCTCCCATCCAAACTTCCACTGCCTCGTACAGATTGGCTGTCAAGCGAAGGGGTTGGAAAGGTCATCTCCCTTTCTTAACAGAACACGTGTCATGGTGTCCCCGGTGTCCCCCCATGTCCCCTCTGCCCCTTCACCGTCCGCCTTTTGGTGCGTCACTACAGGGGACACCATCTCCACCTGCTCGCTCTCTGGCGAGATCATGTGTGTGACTTCGTTGTCGGAGGTGAAGATGACCTCGCTTGAGCTCTCCGCACTCGACTTTGTTCGTTGACAAACCCTGAGGTGCAAATTCTCTGCGATGAAACGGACTGTATTATATAGACCTGACGGTTTGCTTGAGGCAAATGGTCGTTTTCATGACTTTATACTCTTTTCGTCGTATCCAATTCCACAACCGATCCACAATGAGCCCCCAGCTTTTGACATAGCTTCAAAGACTTTGGACAAGAAGGGCTGCACTCTGGTTGGGTCCTTCACTAACTCGAGCTACCAACTCACCAGGCTGTGTCACACAGATCTCGCAACATTGCCCCCACGGCACATGCTGCCCAGGAAAACTGGCTTTGTCTCAAAAGGGGGCTAGCCGAAAATTCACATATTTTATTTAACAATAGTAAATGATATTTCAGTGCAGCGGTAGTCCGTGACTGCAGATATCTAATTGAAAAAATTATGATAAGATATGTATGAAAGTAGCAAAATTGTCACTGGATTTCCCAAAAATTATATGATAAGAATAGACCATTGGATTTGGGGCTACTCAATTTTGAAACAATCGGGCTCCTTGGTCTGCGAAAGGATCTCCAGCAGCTCATCGTTCGACAAGAAGTAGAAGCGAGCAAAGCCATTCCTCAGCAAAGCCATGTATGGAGTATATTACATAAGACTGTAGACTGTAGATACTATATATGTATCTGTATTATCTGTATATATCTAGTATGATTGAAATATGTAGATTCTGTGTGTGTGTTCCCTTCAAAGCAACACAGTGCAATTGCCATGCGAAGGTGTGGATTAAAAGCTCCCCATCCAAAAATACCATGAGTCTTGGGTAGTCCAATGGGTCCATACATCGATAGAATTAATACATCCCACATCCAAGGGCCCAGCCTTTTTGTTTCAAGGTAGTCCTCCAAGCCCTTCTGCACCATGTCCAAAGTGATCTGCCACAAGTTTCACGCTGCACAAAGATGCACAAGACGCACAAAGTTCGAAAAAAACTCAGAATCACTCTGCGTCTCCATGTCAAAAGGTGGCATCAGAATGGCACTCAATCAATCCATGATCACCATCCAGAAGTCATAAGCATGCAGGTCAGCACGTTGCATTCTCGCCACTTCTCCAAAAGCCCTTCAGTGGCACAAATGTCAATGATCTTCGGATTCTCCCTGGTGTTAATCATCTCCTGAACAGAGCAAGCAGGGCAGTATCTCATTTAAACAATTTGGCGACATGTTAAACCAAGTCAACTACAGATTCTGATCAGTTGCTGCCCCAAGAAAGAATACAGCTCGCAGTGAAGAAACCAGATCACGAGTCCCAGCCTGACGCCGTGTGGCATCAACATGCTTGAAGCGTTTGCCTGAACACCCACCCAACATCAGTCAATACAATCTTCAAATGTGGTTGCTTTGGACATGTGAATGACAGAAAGCGAAAAAGTGGAAGCAGCATCACTTCCACCAGAGCCAGGGCCTTCGGTTGGCAATTGCCGCATGATATCCTTGGCGTTTTCGCGAGGGGTTCTCTGCAGAAAGCGGCTGCGGCTGGCTCAGCAGTGTTTGAAACCAAGGGTCATCTGAGTCGAAGATGGGTTGGAGGTACATCCAAGCCTTTTGACACTTCAGCCTGGCCACAAAGTGATTGCTTGCCATATGGTTTCTCCTATTCTTATGCACTCGGATCAGAAAATGGACAGCTGCTTACCAGCACAAAGAGATACACAAGCAAAACCACCGAAGGAACCAAAAACAACTGGCCGGTAGCTCCATTCTTCTAAGGTCTCGGATACACGCATGAGCCGTGTGTTCCACCTGATTTGGCGAATTGATGCGAATTGCATTTGCTGCTCAAGGCAAGTTGGCGCACTCGTTGATGTCTTCCTCGAATGGTCCCTTGAAGGTGGAAAACATCATGGCCTGGCACAAATGCACCATGGAAGCACCATGGCACAGAAAACCTGCGGCCAATGCCTGTGTGGTCACGATGTGCTCGTCCAGCAGAACCATGGCCTCCCAAGCTGAGTCTGAACAGTCTGGGCTGCAATGCTGGTCAATTGTATGAACTTCTTGTGTTTCAGTTCCAAAAACTGGTTTCCCCGGGTAAATAGTAACCCACTATAGGTAGCCAGTGACTAGCACCTGACATCTGGGCATGGAGCCATGTGCCAACGTGCCATTTTCATCGCTGGACCGCCCTGCCTCTCCATCGCCTTTCAGAACGTAGGTGCCAGTTTTCCTGAAAGAAAACAAGGAAAAAAACTGGACCAAGGAACCAGAGATGGACATTTGTTCAAGGTGGGCAGTGATGCTTGACTGAAGTTTCTAGTCATGAAGGTTTCAGCTGCTGACAGCAAGTATCTTTTTCACAGCTCTAGCCGCTCAGATCCTCAGACCATCGGCTACTCGGCCACCCGGCTACTCGCCCTCAGTCGGCTCGGTATGAATGTCACGGATTTCTGCACCTCCCACGCTGTTTGGACGGTCCAGCGCCTCATAGTTGGGATCACGACATTTGGGCAACATGGCAAGTGATGCATCCAAGGTCACCTCCACAACCATGGGGATCTTGAAATTTTCCTTCACGTAGGTTGAAGCGAAGTTGTTGCCGTGGACGTGTGCCACCTTGAAGCCTGCATGTTGCAACGCTTGCATTGCTTGGAGGTAAGTCTTGTGGTTTTCTTCGTACTCCAGGGAATGGAACTCAATGACGAGCTGTCGAAATTTCTTCAAAGTTGCCACGTCACTGTCGGTCAACGTGGACCATTCTCCAAACTCGATGTCCATCTTCATCAGCAAGCTCCGATCTGGCGCATCCGACATCTTTGACTGGTCAATGGCCTCTTTCAATGTCCAAGTGGTCTTTCCCGGGAATTTGTTCAATTCCTTTGACGACATACAAGCTGGGAAGAACTGACACTTGTCGCAAGCTTGCGCTGGGGTTGAAACAGTGCAATCATACTGAAAGATCGGGATGTTGAAGGCATTGAAAACGTCTAGTGACCACTGGTCATGTTGCTCCACGCCCATGGAATAAGCTGCTCGCAAAGTGGAAGGCTGCAAGGAGTCCATGCAATGCAAATAGCCACCATCATTCTCTTCACCAAACCGCTTGAAGGTCTTGCACGTCCCACAAACGGAGAAACTTTGGAACAAGTCTTTGGTGATCCCAGGAGGCAACTGATCAGCAAGTGCCTGGATAGCATCTGCGTCGTACTCGGTCTTGTGCAGGAATGTTCTGGGCTTCGGCTGCACAGCATAGATCTGCCCAAAGAGCAGAAACAAGTGCGCAGCACGAGAGAAATACATCGCGAAGTTCGTGAGGAGGATACGTGATTGGTACAGTAAACCTTGGAGCTTGAGAAAAGATTATGATGCCGGGCGGTTGTGATGGCTCAGAAGGCCAGATACGGCACGGCTGCTTTTTTCAAGCGCTTCAGGAACCCATTCACCAGTAGGAATAATAATGAAAATTCAACTAATGTGACTATTGCCTTTTTTAGCTGATAGACCCCACTGCACTGCCTGTACTTCTCTGAGAGGTCAAAGGACAATGGTTCCCAATCAGCCTGCAGGAGGCAATCAGTTTCTGGTTTGCTCCAGCGGAGGGTACAGATCAAGAAAGAGGGTTGTAATGTGGTAAACTCAATGCCATAAATCTAAAGTTTGGCGGTAGTTTTGGCCACCCACTTATGATAATTTTTGGGGACGGTTTTTAGGATTGGGTTCCCAACGTTAAAAGCAGTTCAAGACCTCATGATTGAGGAGTTTTCCATGTTGGACGGCCTTCATCTTGTTCAGGGTCTTCTCCAAACCATACTCCTTCCCTGCTCGGTCACCAACTTCTGCGACCTGTGGTCGACTCGGATCGCATCAAATATCAATCCAATAATGGAGAGACGAGACCCGCCTCGTTGGCGAAGTTCAGGAGCCCGGAATCCAACATCCTGTGAATCAAATCAAGGCCTTCCAAAGTCAAATGAGGGGTTCTTGAAAGTTTCTTCAACAATAATACCATGCAAGATGCCCCAGATGCCCCCAATGGCCCAATGGCCAAATGGCCCAAGTCTCCCAAGTGACAAAAACTTCCCAGTCCTTTGCAGGGTGAATCCTCCTTCCATGCCTGGGCCCACCTGAACCCCTGACCTCGGAAAGGGAATTACACAGGGCTCAACAATGACAACCCGAGACAGCCTGCACTGATTTGTTTCTGCACCGGGATCCAGACTTTTCGGAAATCTGCTCCTGTCATGTCCAGATTTATGCTGTCAGCACTCAGTAAAGCATGCTTGTTCAGCTGTCTGAATGACTTTGAAGCAATTTATCTCTGTGGAAAAAGTACAGTAGATAGGTTTAAACTGTTTAAACTTAACAACAAAGAGTGTGCAGCAACTTCTAAATTCCAAAACATGCATCAGTCCACCCAGTGTCGTTGTCGCATTCCCTCGTTGCGGAGGCCAGTGACCAGAGGAAGGTTGGGTTTGAACCTGCAAGACATCGTTTTTTGCAGAAGCATTCCTGAAGACCACACAGGAACCACCTACCTCGCCAGCAACGGCCAGTTCTTAAATGAAAAGCGGACCGAACCCGGAAGACACTGGGACTCCAACTCCTCCAGTTCCGTCTTGATCTGCTCCGCTATGCCACAAATCGACTGAGCAGCCAGTCGCTGGATCTCAACAAATTGTCTGGGTCTGAGGTTTTCTCTATGCCCTGACAATGTGTCAAAACTGTCTTCAAATTGCAAACATGACTACCAGTGACTACCCTGATGGCCCTGAATTGTCCATCTTTCAGGTTAGTCGGTTAATCCAGCACCTCACAACATTCCAGATCTTCAGATCTTCTCATTTTGCGATTGCGATATCAGTGGCACCTTGGTCTCTTCATTTTCCTTCAGCGTGCGAATGGTCTTGAAAAGCAGGCGAATGCCATTAGTCACCTGTCACAGCATGCTGCATCATTTGTCTAACCTGCTGTGCCATGTTACTACAGTACATGTTGTAACTGTTACTACCATGAGCTGTGGCGTGCCCACCTCGTTCTCGCAGTACCGCGGGTCAATCTCGTTAAAGGCACCCTGAAGCCAGGCCTGTCCCATATCCGGCGGTTGATTGAGCCGGAGGGCAAAAGACATTTGCCTTTGTCATCTACTCTGTGACTGTATGTTAATCAATGAGAATGAAGATCTCTACATGATTTAAACTCAACGCTGCCAGAACTTTGCCGCTTTGCAGGCTCTTCTCGACATCGTCAGGCTACTTCATGTTCGCCTCTTTGTTGCTGACCCAATCTCCAGCAGTCTTCCAGAGATTGTTGTATGGCTCAAAGGTTTTGATCATGGTCTGCAGGTTGGAGTAGTCTGTCTGATCCTTACAACACAACAGCATTGCAACATGACACCCTAAGGCCAGGAGATGCGAAAATACTTGGTGCCAGGCCCGATCAAACAGCACCTCCATTGCAAAAATATACGTGCCGTGCTAAAAGGTACAGCTTCACTTGGGTGTTTTTCATGCTGGCTTGAGCGCTGGAAGTCCCTTGATATTCACAGCCAACATGCTGGCAGCCTCACGAGAGTTGTAGAGTCGAACGAGATCTTGACACTGTTTGATCTCTTCAGATGTCATTCGCACCTTGTCAAGGACCCAGTCACTTTGACAAGTCTCCAACACATGAATGCCAAAATGTGAAGAATCCTTTGTTTTTCACAAGCACCGTGATTGCACATGTAGCATGTCTGTGTATGCGCAACAGAACCATGGTGGTGGTCCTTGTTTGCGCACTTTCTCGCAATTCAAATGGGGGGGTCAAATTTTTGTTTCATCATGTTTCATTCAAGATTGTCAATTTAGTTGGACCACCATTTTGTTGGACACCAATTCTGAGTTTCAGATACATCGAAATCCATCTACCAATGGCCTAGTTTCTCAGCGCCGACTTGCCTTCTCTGCCACCTCCCTCACTTGACCAAGATCTTTGTACTGGGAGAAGCCTTCAATCACCTCAGCTATGCCCACGTCTATGGCTAGTGCTGAATAGTGCTAGGGCCTAGTCCTATTAAACCGCAAGATTTGCCATGTGCGATATTGAAATATGTTTAAACTGTTCATTGTTTGAGGGGTTCCTAATTTTGAGCCATACCCACATGTCGCAGGACGCCTCCTCCAACCTCACCAGTCTTTGATCAAATTCCTGCGCTTTGCAGCATTGAGGGCCCATGAGGTGAAGCAAAAGTTCTCGAATGGGACCTTTTCACAGTATGGGTGGTTCGGTCCCATTTCAACATCAGGCAATTGCAGGGGATTCCATCGCTCATCCCTGTTTCTGCAGGGCCTTCTGCTCTGACTCTTGAGACGTCAAGAAACCATCATGCTGAGTGTTGAGGTACCTTGAAAGCAGGAATTCAACACAAAATGAGTTCTATATACTATCCCAAACTGAAGGGAATACCCGGTCAAAATAGTATTTTTTTTGATAGGGAAAATGAGAATCAACCATTGAACGATATATTATCAATCATGGGATATCGCGGTATCACCCAAACCAGGGCACTCCATGCACTTTGCTGCTCTGGATTTTACCAGACCAGAGGAGCCAAACCTCAAATTTCCACTGAACCCGATGACCTATAGAATTCTTTTGACGCACACAGACAAGCACAAACAAAACAAAGAAAACATTTGAAAGCAGCGAAAGGTACACAGCGAATCAAATCCTCTCCAAAACCTGGGCTCTCCGAACATTTCCCAGCGTGCTTCTAGCGTCTCAGCCGGCAGTTCGAAACGGAGATCTTCCACCTTGGGCAGTTCAGCGTCTTCAAAAAAACCCCGAAGCAGTTCTTGACCCTCACAGGAAAGATGTGCGATCATTTGAGCCATGATGGTTCTCATAATTTTCAATAACGTATAACCCCCTACAGACATGTGTTTCCCGTTCAAGTTCTCGGTGCACGGCTCGCTTTTGTCTGATCTTAGCTCGTTGGTTAGGTTGGCTCTGGAGCACTTGAATGGTTGTGCACGCTTCTGACCGGCCAGTCCCCAGAACACAAAGCTATCAAACAGACAAAACTAATTCAAATTTCTGGGTGGGTGGTCTGAGGGCTTGAAATTTGAGCCAGTCTGGCTTCGACTGAATCGGCCACTCAAACTTCACTCCACCCATGTCCCTACACATCTAGATGCTACACGACATGTGTTTCCCGTGCAAGTTCCCGGTGCACAGCTCACTTTTGTCTGTTCTCAGCTGGTTGGTTGGGTTGGCTCTGGAGCACTTGGCTGGTTGTGCACACTTCTGACCACACCGTGCACAATCCCCAACCCGCTCGGTGTCCTCTCTAGAGCCAATAGAACGGACAAAAGCTTTGAGATAGAACCATTGGGGTCCTGTGCAAACGACTCCAAGGCCCTCAACAAGGCTGAGGTGTCAACCTCTTTCTCCGTCCAACCAGCTGCTTGTGCCATAGACGTGTCGTGACGGCCAATGGGGTCAAGTTCAGACTTGACATACTTGAAGGCCGGAAACCATCCTCGGTGGGATGTCAATGTCCAGAATGCTGTGATGATCGCATTCGATTTCCCGGCTTGATTGTCCACAAACATGAAGAAATATGGTGGCAGCTCTTCTTGTGTGAAGACTACGGCCATCACAGCCGCCCAGATTTCCATCATGTAGATGAACGCCCTCCTGGACGTGAACTTTCCAATGAAGTCCCTCGGCAATTCGCCGTGTGCACAGGTGATCTTGTGTCTTTCACCTTGACGACGAAGCCCCACCCGTTGGATTTCGGCTTCTTGTTTGTCGGGCTCCATAACTCAGGGGCCTGGTTTGGCTTCATCCTCCGGTCTCCAACCTGGAAGAAAGCATCTGAGTAGATGAGGGCTTGTATGGCCGGGCCCTCCTGCACGTATCGATGATTGAGGCGGTATACAACTCTGCCATCGAGATAGGTATGGCATATCGGCCACCCAATCGAGGCAGCCAACCCGTGCCTGGTGTGAGGGGGCCCGTCATCCGGAATCCATCTGTGAGTTCCTTCTGCAGCTCAGCATACTCTTGGTGACCGGCCTGTCTGAGCAGTTCGATGAACACTGGGACCTGAGTCACCTGTTTGGTCCCGTGGTAGACCGACTGGATTTGGCAACTCCTCGAACCACCGAGAGGTCACGTCTTCCCCAATCATAAATCATCTCTTTCAACTCGTCGATCACCGCACTCCGGATTTCATTGAGCTGTGTCCAGCAGGGTTGCCTGAAGGCCCGGTTCCAGCGGTGGTACCGCCAGAGCTGGATGGCAGAGCCCGACTGCTGCGCCCCAGTGGTTCCACATGTCCGAGCAAGGCCGCATCGGGACTCCTCTGCGTTGAAGCACGGGCCTGGCCTGGCCATGCTACAATTTCCGAGCCGGATCGCCTGCTGGATCGCGGACTCATGCACAGGCGGTGGGACCGAAAACCCCTGTCCCTGTGCCCACTGACGGCCAAGGACATGTGCCAATGAGTTGGCTAACATCTGATGCCCCGCTCTGTGGGAGACCCCCTCCACTCGGGTTTATAACCCCTCGGGAAAGCTGTTCCTTCACGTCAGCTGTGATCACCACGGCTTCGTCTCCCCTCCAAGCCATGGCGTGATCGTTGTAATGTGAAGGAGCGAACTGCCGATTGTCGGCGAACTTGAGGCGGCTCTTGGCAGGAGGGGGGCGGCCATGCACATCAGGACTCTGTGTGGTGAAACAGGGGATGTGTTTACGCGAATGTCAAGCCTCCCATCGTGAAGTTGGCCGCTTCCTGTGGCGGTAGAGCCGGTAGAGCCAATTTGATCTGGCGATGACCGTTGAATTGGGCCCACTGTATCTTCTGGCCCGTCAATGGATGCTCTTTCACGTCCTGCCATGTGATGTTGGTCCACCATAGCCGTGGCCGGGACATGAAACAGCAATCTGCGGAATCCAAGACGACAGGGTCTGAAGCCAGCTTGTCAAATATGTACTGGCAATCTGACGGGTCGTTCATCACCACGTTCAGCGGTCGTGAGGAGTGTGTGATGAGTGAGTGCGTCTCTCAAGTCCATGAGACGATCGATGAACTCGCCAAATTAATTGGCGCCCTCTGGTTTGTTCCTGCCTTCTGACTTTGCCGCCACCACGGAGTAGTCTGGGCAGGGAGTTCCTGCGGTGACTATGATGAGGCATTGGTGTCCTAGGTCTCGTTCTTGGATCATGCTGGCCACTGTCACAGCCTGATAGTCTTCCTTCAAGAAGCATTTTCTGTGTTGTATGTACGGGAACCTCTCTCTCGTGACCTTGATGCACTCTTCGTCCACCTCCCATGCCAGTGTCATCAATGGTGGTCCAACCAACCGCTCCAACGCCACCTGGCGGAGCCGACGCCATCGCAAAAGGACAGTATAGGATGAAAGAGATGTTCTTCATGAATCGTCCAACCAATTCGCTAAGCCGTGGGCCGGGTACCGCCAATGTGCATTCGACAGCCCCGTGCTGTCCCTAGCGGCCCGATCCATGATCTTGACCAGCATTGCCCTCGTGCGAGGCCTGGCTGTCCCAAGATCCTGCTTTCCACTTCTGCGATTTGCCGTGCTGGGAATATGGGTGCTGGCGCCCCTTCTGGTTGCCATTGTATCCCTTATAGTTGGTGCCATAGCCCCAGGTTGCCTTTCTGGGGAGATGCCGGTGGACCGTTTCTTGGGAGCCGCCGGTTTGGTTTCCTTGGGGACTTCACGGCTCATAGCTTCATTCAGCAGATCCACATCGGTCATAACCTCCGACGAAGCGTCGCCAAATGACTGCCCAGAGCGCATCCCCATGGCAACCTTCCATCCGGCCGATTCCCAAAACACCCGGAGGTTCTCGAGCTTGTTGGGGCGGGCCCGCACCTTCTGTATGAACCAGTCCGAAGGCATGGACGTGGTCTTCCTCTCCCAGCTGCAACAGGATCCACGCCCATCGCACGGAATTCACTCCGTCTAACATAGCTAGGATGGATGTTTGAGTCCATGATTTGCCCTCTTCATCCTGAATGATCTGATCATCCCCCTGAGGAGCTGGACGGACTTCGACTGAAGGGCTGACCTCCCCAGATGCCATGAAAGTCCTCCCTAAGATCTGCTCCGCCCCTAGCACTTGTTTCTCTGGGAATTTCCGAGGCCTTCCATCCACCGTGATGCCGTTGTACCTCGAAATCTGCTTCTGCCAGACTTGAGCAGGAAATTGTTTTGGGATCTTCTCTGAGGAGGTTCCGCTGGATGGTGCGGATGGTGCCAGCGCTTGGCCTCCCACAGCCATGACCGCTGGCGCAGTCCATGCTTGATTGGCGCCTCTGCCACTGAAGGGCTGCTTCACTCCACATATTATGTTCCAGCACGGCTGCAGCGATCGGTTTCTCCTCCTCTGCCAAGGTGAACTCACGTGTTCCTGTCCGATATCCATCCAAGAGTGGCTGAACCACCTGGGCCATGAAGACATCTCTATCGGCCGCGATGAGAGCCAAAGTTGGGCAGGTTTTGATACCCCGAGCTTCGAGGTACTCAACAATGACCGCACCTGGTCGGTCGGAATGGACCGGACATATATATAGAGGGTGGAGTCGGATGCGACAAGCACATCTCAAAGATCTGATGGTCAATGATCCTGCCGTGTCATTTTCCGCACCGGCAAGAGAAGGTTGACAGTACAACCTTCAATGTAGTTGTGTGACCAATGATCAACGACAACTTGCTACTTCAAGTTCTCGCATCATATACCGTAAATATACCAGCAAGCTATCACGAGCAAGTCTCTGCCGTGTGCTGGCGAGTCCATCGAAAAAGGGACAATCTCATGTTCCGCCGGAATGTCTGCTAACTTCTCCACGTCGAACGAGTCCTTAGGCAGAGGGGCCTATAGTCCCCTAGAAAAGCTCCGGGCATAATCCCTGGATGCCCCTCGAATCACCGGGCTAATCTCTATCTGCATGTGTCTCCGCTGATAGGTGAAAAACAGATTGGAAGAATCCTTGAGAGGATATACAGGCCCCTTCCTTGAGCGAGGCAGCAAACACTGGATCGCTTCCATCGAGACCGGCCACGGCTCAACTTGCCATGCTTTACAGATCAACAAAAGCTCCAACTTCCACCGGGCCACTTCGTTGGCGGCCAAGTCGGCGGCCGAAGATTCAAAAATTCGACTTCGGTCCATTCGAGCTGCTTCTCGTCTGGCTCTACCCCCAAGCTCTCTGGTGGTTCTACTCTACCACATCTCGTGGTTCACGTCCCATTCTCAATGCTGTCCATCAGTGCTCGGGCGCCTATGCGTCTCACAGCTTCCATTTCCATGGCCTGTGAAGTAGACATCCGTGTTATCGGAGCTCCATCCGACCCCCCCGTTGGCGCGATCTGCACGCTCAGCAGAGTTGAAGGCGGGACCGCATTGTTGAGGCGTTCCAGATGTTGGCAAATCACCGCCAAGATGGGTGTTGCCTCATAGTAGGCAAACTCTTGGCGCGCCTGGATGGCGGCCAGCAGCAGTCTGTCCATTCCTGCTCCCAAATGTCGCGGGGCTTCTCGCCTCCAATCGACCAATGGCTGGGTCAGCGCTCTAAACTCGCCCCGTATAGTCTCCATCTCCATGGCCAAACCGGCAAGTGTGACCTCAAGCGGTCGATCCAAGAATGCCCTGTCACACAGGACCTGGGCCCCGTAGGTCATCGCTGCCATGCGGTCCAACACCCGGGCAAAGAGGTCAGACCGTCCTTGTGGGCGTAGTGTCTCATCCAACCCACGCTATGAGCGCGGCACCAACCACCACCACGGTGTGCAGCGCCACGGGGGAGTCCGCCGATGCCGGGTACGTGGCGTCCCGAGCCCGCTGAGCATCCACCGCCAGCGATAGAAGCCAGTTGGCCAACTGGCTCATGGCGTTGCACCGCCACGCCCCCGCACCCGGGGCCTCTTGAAATTTGGCTTCGACTGAATCGGCCACTCAAACTTCACTCCACCCATGTCCCTACACATCTAGATGCTACACTATATGTAATAACCAATCATCAATGGTATCTTCAATGGCCTCGTCTCTGATTCTAGGTTTTCACCCCTCAATTCACGCGTCCCCGAGCTGCTCTTGCTCACTATGTTGTTGACATGATGATGGCAAGACTGCCCCTGGACATTCGTCCGTAAGGAAGTTTTCGAACTAAACTTCCTTTGAACATCTTTAAACATAGTTTACCCAAATGTCCATCCAAATCATCCGAGAACGTCCGAGAACGTCCGAGAACTTCCAGTCCAGTTGAGTGCCGAGCCAGGTCCGTGAGCTGCATGGCTTCGTTCACGGCACCAGCCAACTTCGCCAGCTCGTTGGGGATGGACTTCAAGAAGTCCTACAGCATTCGGTCTCACGGAAAGAGGAACAGCGGGAACAGCATCTATCCACATATCTATAAATTAGATATATGATTATATGACATTATAATACATTAATATACATTATATGTACATCTTACTCATATGTCTGTCATTACAATGCATACTATATAAATTATACGTAACAACAATGATAATTGAAAATGGCTGCTGATGTATCCGTTCATAGGGAGATGTGACCAGAACAAAAATGGGATTTAAGATTACAATGACTGCATGTAAGCATTATAATTGTACATCGTATTTACCATGGTGGGTCATGAAAACGTATTCCTATATGGATAGCCGGAATCCCTCAAACAAAAGTGGGGATGGTAAAGTGCACTGTAGCACCTGCAGCAATTCCCTTTCCCTTCCTGGCCTTCATGTCAGAGCATTCTTCGATAGTGGCCACCTGAAATTCTCAACAACTCAACACTCCAAGTTGTAGAACTTTCCAATACTTTCCAATACTTTCTTTCCAATACTTTCCAGCTTGGTACGTGATCCTATTTGGCATGTTTGGCAACCACAATTGCCTGCGTCTGCAGCTTGGTGAAAATGCCCTCGAAAGCCACTGTGGCCTGCAATGTCCATATCACGCAAAGGACAGTTTTGAGGTGTACCTTCAGACTATAGCAACTCTATAAATCCCCAAAAAGATAGAAGTTTGCAAAATCCAATTCGAAAATAGTGGTAAACTATTTTTCTATCTTTTGGGGGATTACTATGTTACTCCAAACACTTTCTGACTTGTTTGCTACACCGCTCCCCCTTTGGGCCTCATGGATGTTGACTTCCAACGTCTCCGCCAAGGACTTCAACAAGAGCTGTGTGGACCTGCACGTCAAAAGTCATCAAAACTACAACTTCACTAGGCTTGTGCTGGCACAAAGTACAACCCTAAGTCGCAGGAAGCATCTAGGTGAGCACACATTCTGGAAGTCTAAGCCATCAACATCTCCAGCTTTTCAATGAGCTGCGTCCGGATTGTGCCGGTCTCAATGCCTGGGCTGGAATTGTTGGGAAGCCATGCTTGATTTCGGTTTGAGACTGGTGATGCCAGTGGCAGCCCACAACCGCCAATAGCAGAACTGAGACCATTGCGATAGAAGCCAATCACAATGGATTCCTGGTAGTGCACAGCTCTATCCAACACACTTCATCCACTCGAACGAAACCATAAAGGAACGAAACAACCTTTTTTCCAGAAGATCTCTTGCCGCCGACCACACCTTGTCATCCGGAATGGATTCTTGGATTTGTCGTATTCGCCTCAGGCTGTAAGGGAGCGCGTGAACCCAAGATTCTCCTCATGTTAAGGTATTGTAACCTAACTTCATGTATTCCGCTCTCTACCGAACCACATGAAGATACTGTCGTCAGTTTTCCGAAGACTTGCGACAGCAACAAAAAACAGCAATCGCTCCCCCTTGGGTAATTGAACATGACTGTATAATGGAAAATCACCACTTTTAATGGGGCAAATTCTCTATAGATGGGCTATTTTCCATGGCCCATGGTTGAATAACCAGAGGGCAACACTGAACTCAGCCAAGGAACTCCTTTCTTTCCTCGATCATGGCTTTCACCTGCGCAGGGGCCTGTGGCTCCTGCTGCAGATGCGCCGCAGCCGCCTCCGGGTCCATGACAACCACATCCTGCAGAGCCGCAACAGATTGGCGGAGCTGAATCCATTGGAAATGGACAACCAAAAATGACTAAAGAGTGAATTTATTCCCTAATTAACACTAATCGATAATTACGAAAACTATTTGAATTTTGAATACATCTTTGATAGATTTTGGAAACAACGATCTTGGAAGCCATTAACAGTTGGATTGAAACTGTCCTTGAAGCTTTCCATCGCATCCAGGATATCCTGTAGCCAAGGTTCCTGCTTTGCCAAAGTCTCCTAGCCAGAACAAAGATTCCAACTTTGGCGTAATGCCAAACAGGCAGTTCTCAGCGCTGCTTTGCTCATCTTTGATGGTAGACCGTCCCATTTTGAGCCCATTTCTGGTGGTTGTGTCCAGATTTCTGAATTGTATCTTTTGATTCTAATATATATTATATGTAGTTCCGATTTTAAGGAGGATTTAAATATACCCTCAGGAAATCCAGCCTTGTTTGCTGATTTCTTACCCATTTGTGCATCATCAAAGAGAGGGATTGCATACCATGCCTGAGTGGCAGAGAGTACCTAAGATATATATATATGTATGGAGGATATGGTTAATTTCAGATTCGCCATTATTCTTGTCAACCATTTCTTTGTTATGGTTGAAATGGTTATATATACTTCAACCATATTCAAGTACCATATTGCAATCATTCAACCCATCTGAAATGATCATCCCATTTCTTGTTCGACTAAGCTCTGGTGATAATGTGTTGGATCATGTTGGATCCATTGATCTTTCGCCCCCCCCCTTTAGACAACACTAATGGGTGGTCACTGAAATCATGCCATGATCATTGTAACTAATACTGTATATGGTGTGGGCTATATGACGATGTGGCTCATTTTTTTTTGTCTGTGCCCAAAAAAATCATGGTTTTTGTCACTGATGTCACAGGTTTATGATGTTTTCACTTCACTCATCTAAGGATATCTAAGGATCACCACTTCCTTTAGCTCCTTTCTCCCGCCTCCAAGCGCACCCGTAGATCTTCCACCCAGGCATCGGTGGGGGAGAAGATGGGGTCCTCACCAACAATGAGGATGCAAAATCACCAACAATGGTATACAATGGTCAGATTTGTCATATATCAATGATATCAATGTTGATGTAACAGTAACACCCAAAAATTATGAGGTTGGATGTGTCCTACATGATTTTTCACCACCAAAAATTGTCACATGCCAAATTTGGATCTAGCTCAGAGTTGGTGATGGCCAAAGATTTTTTTGCGAAAACACTGGGATGGTTCCGAAAATGACCAGAAATGATACGGCAATTGGGACACCATGTTGCAGCCAAACATAGATCTAATTCGTGCAAGCAGCACATAGACCGTTCCAATGGCTGCATGTCGTTGTTATATTTATGCGTAGATGAATATATACACATACGCAATTTACAAAATATACATACATACATTACATATCTATGATATTGTATATATATATATACAGATTCCATACATGCAGCATGCCTATCAGCGACATCAATGTGGTGAGAGGAAAACTAGCTTTTCTCAACATCGTGCTAGGGTAACGTGGAGAAGCTACACCCGCTTCCGAGAGTACGTTTGCAGTAGAAAAACTAAGTACAGAAGCAGCTCGACGGCGGTCCAAGTGATGGTCACGAATGAGATGCGGTAGCAGCACCTGCAGATTTTTGAGGCCCTGATCTCTGAGTCTTTGGAGGGTGACTTTGGAGCTTTGTTCAGTTTGACTGTACTCTCCTTGACAGGGAATTAGCACCAAAACAATATGGAGGTTTCCATAAATGGGGGTACCCCAAATCATCGATTTTAATGGGATTTTCTATTATAAACCAACCATTTTGGAGATCCCTATTTTAGGAAATCCCCATATAGATACAAACTGAGGTGCCAACACTTTCAATGCTATGCACATCTCTGAAAGAACCCATGCCCTTGTCGAACATGCTCAGCACTGCCTGCATCAGTGCATTTCTGTTCAAGAGGTTCAAGTGCAAACGAAAGGCCCAACCGCTTCTGTTGCCCAGTTGGGAAACACCTAGTTTCAACTGCGGTACATTGCATCGATGGCGCGGCCTGCTTGACCTCTCCAAGATCGGTCCTTCGGAATGGGTTGCACACGGTACAGTAGCTCGTCCAGAAGTGCAGCTCCAGCTAAACTATCTGGGTGTGTCTGAAAGCCACAAAACTCTATGGTTTACAATTATCTTCCGCATTAAAATTGCCGTTCTGAGGTATCCCTTTGCTTTGGACACTACTTGCAAGCAGTCACAACAGCCAACTGGGTCGCTAGCTTGTAGGCGAAGTGAAGCATGGGAGGCTCTTCCGGCTTTTTCTCCTCCTCCTGTGAGCGCATGACTTTCGCTCGAGAAGTCTGCGAAGCGCGAAGGGAGCACTGACACTGACCCTGCCTTCCCTTTTTCTTTTCCTCAAGACATATCTTCTCATGTCCCATATGTCCACTCACAATCCAATGGACTCAAAGTGTATGAAACATTCTGAAATTGATGTTACAACAAATATGGTCAACAACCAAAACAAACCATAGGATTCCATCAAATCCATCTGCTCAGTCGGTGACCCTTTTTCTCATCTTTCTTTTTGTCTTCCGCTGGAACTGCAGCGGCTTCGGCCTCATTTTCCGCCCGGTCGAGATCCAAATGTCGTGGGATCTGTCTCATCATGATCTTCCCAACCTTTTCAGTTATATATACAGATATTATATATATATTATTTATTATTTATTTATTTATTTATACATAGAGAGAGAGAGAGATTAGATAATGATATGACATGATATGACTAGATTCGATTCGATTTGATTCGATTTGACTCCATCGACAGATGGATAGATGGACAGATGGATAGATGGGTAGATCGATAGATGGATAGATGGATAGATTGGATAGATTGGATAGATGGATAGATTGGATAGATTGGATAGATTGCATAGATTGGATAGATTGGATAGATTGGATAGATTGCATAGATTGGATAGATTGGATAGAATAGATAAAGTAGATAGAATAGATAGAATAGATAGAATAGATAGGAAGGATGGATAGATGGATGGATGGATGGATGTATAGATAGATCAATCGATAGATTGATAGATAGATGGATGGATAGATAGATAGATAGATCAATCGATAGATTGATAGGAACGGAATATCGTTGTGACTCCTGACTATCTCTTCTGAATGGACAGCCGACAGCAGGTGCTGGGGAGTGCACTGCAGCAGCAGCTTTGGCTGCAATCTGAGGATTGATGACAACTTCCACCTGCAAAGGATGCCAGGCCACTGGCTGTCTCAACGATCTTCATGAGGAAAATGAAATGCGGCAGGATTTTCGGCACTCAACTGACGGCCATGCCACATTCCCTCCATGCCTTAAAAAGTGCCTTCTTGAACGTTGGTTCAACGGCCTCCACAGTCCGGAAAAGTAGCGAGAAGTAGCTCTGGGGCCAATGGTGTCGGAGAACAACAAATGATTTTCGTAGTTTTTCGCTCAACATCAAACCATTCACAGCAGCAAAACCAAATCAAGGTGTTAGCATGTGTCCATCTGAGGCTGTCACAATCTCGTCTTTGTTTGGATCTGGTTTCACCTAACCGGACATCACCCGGCGGTGGCATCAGAAACAGCATGAAAAACACAATCAGACTGGATTCGGTTTCAATTCATTAAGATCTGAGACCCCTCATGCAGAAAAACTGGAATAGGGTCTACATATCACCTTTCAAAAAAATCTTCGGATTGAAATGTTGCTCTCTTTGACTTTCTAATGGATTGGTAGGATCCAGACAATGTTCCTCAAAGTTCGGAGGACGTGTCGGTCCTTCGTCATTTCCACCTCAAGGTACTGAAAACTGTGCACCAGAATCATCCCACATATCCATATACATCCCACATTCTTTGGTCTTTCGCACAGGAGGTTGAAGAGACTTCAGGTGAACTCTCAGTGCTGCACACGCAGTGGGGTCAGACTTTCAAGCACCTGCACCTGCAAGAGGAAAACTTTCTGCGTCCACAGCCATAACTTCACAGTTACTGACATGGGTTGTTCTGAGTCCCAAACGAAAGAGGTCAGGTTTTCCTGGAGAAGGTGCAGGTTACAACCTCTGACCCTCGCAGATGTTATTGCTATGTGAAAATATATCATTAAGAAGTTTGCATGAAAGTAAAGTCCTCTGCCAAAAGCAGGAAGGCATTTGACCTGAACAAAAAACAACCATGCCTAATGCCTGGAGTCTGATATTTCTGATTTCTTGGAAATACCACAGCTGCACAGCTAGTGCTGCAACTTAGTGCCATACATCATGAGTCCACTGCAAACAAGCATTGGCCGCAAACGACTTGCTCGGTAGTTCCTGTTGGAGTCAGGGCAGGAATTACAGTAAGCCATTGATCACGCATGTCAAGCCTTTGATTGCGATAAATTGAAAACGATCAACTTGTCTGCTTTTCATGAAGCAATCTTCCTCTCACCTAGCACCCCATGGCCGCCATGTCTTCCCATGCCCCAAAAGCTTGCCGGATCGACTCAATTGATGTCTCGTTCAGGTGATACCATTTCACAGTGGCCTGCCAGATTCAGCTGCAGTACACTCAGCCTCTTAACATCAGAAGGGGAGACGTGCCTGTTGCAAACACTGCGTTATTCTCATACCTCAGGGAGAAGTGTACATTACTTAATCACACATTTTCTTGAAAACAACTTCTGAGGCTCTCAGGGTTTCGGTGACTTTACTGAGGGTTGCATGTCCTTGCAGTGTGTTCACTGAGGCCGAAGCGAATGGTGTTCACCCACATTCCCAATCTGCCCTTCAAGCGCATGATGGACGCTTCCTGGCGCTCGGAAAACTCCTGCAGTCGCAGTGGGGTGTTGAAAGCGGTCTCAAAGACCTTCTCAGTGAGCAAGTCCAGACACATCCCTCGGGTCACTTGCAACGCCGCGCAAACTTCGGGGCGAATCACCAAGGAGGCTTTGCAAAACCACTCGAAGGCTTGTCGAAAGCCGCGTGGAACTTGGGGATCTGGAGCCATTGTGGTGTCCCACGAGGGCAGAACCTTCACCGCCAAAAATGGCACAGGAGACGATTCTGCAGGCGTCGGCAACACCAGGTCCGACGGAAGAACTGTGAGGTTCCCTTGGCTGCGCACCTTTTCAAATGTTATCAAATTCTGTACACGCACATACTCCTTCTGAGCATCCTGTAACAAAGTCTCCAGCTTACCATTGAGCTTGTCTGCAAATTCACTGTTGGCATCCCACAGCATACCTTTGGCTAGTTTGGAAATTCGTGCCACGGACTCACGTCCAATCTTGCGGGAACGGTCTTCTGGCATACTGTCGACAAAGAAGTGATACTTCAGAAAACTATTGGCATACCTTCTATTTTGTAGTGCCGTTTTTAAACGGTCAGCAAAAAGGATGGGGTCATCGCCCTCAAAAAATACGTGGAGGCTCAGGACCTTGTCCTCTTGTCCATTGGCCCATTTCACATTGTACCGCTGGCTGGCTGCATCCCAGCCCAATACACTGGCAGTCTGCCACCGGCCACTCCCATCCTCCATGGTGCGCAAGGCGGTGCACGCCAGAGGGGTGGTTTGGCCGTTGGCATCCCGCATCAGCAGTTGCCACTCGGCAGGTGTCCGGGTCCACATGGTGGTGTCCTCAAACGCCTCCAAAGGCAGCTGAACATCCCGGTCCAGGTTGGGGCGGCCGTAGTCCACCCCTCGCTCTTCTAGCAGAGTAAGGAGTGATGGCAGCTGCTCCTGGCGGTGACATTGCGCTGTTCCACATTCCACATGGTCTATATATGCCTACCGTCTACCGTCTACATGATTTCATTTTAAGATCAGCTGGTTTTCAAAAATTTCTACATGATTCATTGCTGTGGTCACTCCTGATAACCAGGTGATCGCTTCACAGCAGATCTCAAATGCGATAAGTCCACGGAATCGAAAGCCGCGGGCGTGGAGGTGTCCAAGCTTTCCAACTTGACCCCGGCAGTTCGCTTTGGCGCGTGGGGTCCACTCCCGAGCCTTCAGAGTTGGTCTCTGGTCTATGCAGGTGTGGAACTGTGTACGCCGTGTAGCCGTGTTTATTGAGTGCCCTTATGTACTGTACCGTATCATAATTTATCATATACATATTATGGTATTCTATGTTTGTGTCATATCACATGTACACATGTACACATGTACACATGTACACATGTACACATGTTGCATGTACACTAAGTCACTATTTGCACTTCAATTTTTTTCCTGTCTGCTTCGACTCTTATCATTGGTTTCTGTCCCTCTGCCTCGGTGGTGGAGGCACAGGCGACCTGGCAGCCTGAATTCCAAACACAGAAAACAAAACCAAGTCATGTCGGGTCATCGCTGGGTCGCAAAAAACTGAGGAAAGTGCACCAGTTGAGCCGGACTCCAAGTCAAGACCGAAAACCCTGTCGCGGAAATGTGGTCAGAATTGAACGCTGCATCATGTTGCATCTCCATCACTAAGACCACATGATCCTAGTTCATTGATATTGAATGACAACAACGAAACTTCGGCCACCTCCAATCAATGTCAGACTGCACGCCCGTTCCAGATGCGGAACTGGAAAGTTTTCCTCGCAAAAAAACTTAAAAACCGCATCACACAATATGCATTTCCAAACTGTCGCATTGTTGTGCATTTACATAATTTTACATACATACAGAAATGTGATTCCGCGTTTTGTTCAAACCCTATAATTCCTGGGCTTCCTTTACCCTTCAACTTGGTCAACTTCGTGCGCCCATCCGGCGAAGTCGCCGGCATCCTGACAGGTCGCGCCACATTGCAATGATGTGGTAGACCCAATGCAATAAACCATCCCCATCACCAGAAATTTGGTCGATGCGCAAAAACCGTCTAAATCTAGAGGTTTGTTATCGGGTTTGGGACACCAAAAGAATAAATGATGGGAAAGTGTGTAAAATGCAGCAAAACATGTTGGGTGTCAAGGAAGAAAACCTGCACTATGAAACCAATGGGTCAGGCAGTGCAGGCCTGGGGGTGCAAAATGGCCTAGGAAAAACTCCGCATTCGATACATATCTACATTGATCCAAACAGCTGCATTAAAATCAAACCTGGTGGGAAAACAAAATTTGTGTTTGACGTTCTGTGTAGAGTTCCGGTGCATTGACGAAGACATTGGTTGCTGAATTTCGGAAACCGCCACAAGATATGGGTGTTTGATCATGACCAATTGGTATCAAATAAAAGGGTATGGATGCTTGTAAATTTCATGATCTTAAAGAAGAGTAGACTCCCCTTCCATTTCGAAACTGATTTTCTGGTTCCCAGTGTGACCATGGACTGGAAGCATGAAATGAACAGGAACTGGCACCATTTGGTTGCGTCAAGAAAAATACCTGTATATGGGCCAGCTGCAAATTTATCACAATATACACAAATTGCACGGATCTCGCATCTGAGCGTGAAAGTTTTGTGTGCACGTCAAACGTAGTGTTGGCAACTCCGTCTGGCTACCAATGACGTAATTTGCGAGTTTGTATTTCCAAGACGTGAAAGTGTCCTGCGCGAGATTTGCAACACATTGAGCCAGTCAATGTGTACAACACAAACAAGAAACGCGTCATTTGTTCTTCGCAGAAACAATAAAACCAATCATCGAGCAAACAAAAAAATCATGCATAAAACAAAACTACAAGAAAAATGTTGAATTTACATTATTTCACCACATATAGGTATTGCATAACATGTCAGTCAATCCACAACCCGACAACTCGCTACTTCTCTCTCACAAATCAACCGCCAAGGACTGAAGTGCTAGCGCCGCTGATTGTTTCCTCCTCCGCAAAGCCATAGATGCTAAGTGAGAGCCACACATGGACAGAATGCCTGGCCATCAAAGTTAGAGCCCAGCACCTGCCATCCGAGGGCTCTATCTGCCACCTGGCTCTCGGATTTCAGCTGAAGTTTCATTGCCAAATGTACAGCATCAGAGGTTGCAAAGTGCACATCATCAGCGATTCGCAAAAGAAATTTCCAAAATTCAAAGAGGCACGTTGTGACTTGAGTCCAGTGCGGTTCGACAACACCATTGTCAAAGCGACTAATGGGGTCTGCAATATTCTGGTCAGAGGGGGCCCATTCGAAATGAGGCATGATGTGGAATCTTGCCAACAAGGTCCAAGTGAAACTGTGGAAAGTTGTGGAGCCCACTCACATGTGCCAGGATGACACGCACAAATCGATAAGAGAGTTGCATTTGTCATTTCACTTCATAGACTGACATGAACAGCATGTGCAGTTGAAACTTGTGAGACCCTTTTGGCACGAGTGAAAATAGACTGCAGCGTTTTCGCCTGAGTCTTTGCATGGTAGCGGAGCCCGCTTGCGGGCAGACGCTTTCCTGGTGCTGAACCTTTCTGGAGGTAGCTGCATTTGGACGACAGCTGGGATTTAGAATACAACTGGCAAATACTGGAATTCTGGATATATACTGGTAGGCCTAAGGTCTAAACACAGGTTCTGGAAAATACAGGTGCTGGATTGTGGGTACAGTTTTCCTGGCGTTGACAGAGAATTTGCAGCAGAACGAAAGTGTGAGATTTGATTTTCTTTTGACAATTTCTTTGAGGAGGAGGCTGAGATTGGGGACATGGATTCACCGCAGGTTGGTGGATCACCAGCTGCAGTAGCAGCTACACCTGGTGTTGAAGGTGTGGATAGCATGGAGGTGGCTCGACGTATGGTGCAAGCAGCTGAAGCAGCTGCCCTAGCTGCTCAAGGAGCTACCAGAGCAGTTGAAGGCGTTTCCAGAACTTCAACTGATGACAGCAAGCAATGGTGGAGACTGTTGCCAAAGCCACCAACGTTTGAGCATACCAATAGAGAAAGTGAAATAGCTGCATGGCGTGAGTGGTCATGGGCATTCGAGCAGTATGTTGCCTCCATAGATGCAAAATTTGCAGACGATATAGAACAACTGCGTGCAAACCCCAATCAAGCTGTTGATCCTGTGGATTTTACAGATACAGAGCGGCAGAGAATCATTTTCTGTACAGCCTTCTTTCATCATTGCTTCGTCAGAGGCCTTTGCTGGTGGTTAAGAACGTGACTTTCCGGCCCCAGAAATGGAACCTGTAAGCGCACATGTGGTATCAGGTATCAGCTGTCTCCGTTCCCTAGCTCCAATGCGGCGATTGCAATGCAGCACCACCCAGGCAACATTCACCAATCCGTCGCTACTCCGCGCTACTCCGCTACTCCGTGGTATGTTTTAATTCAATTACCCAATGTAATTGACACGATATCGAAACGATGGCGGAGTAAGAAAGCCTTCGATACTTCACCTTTCCACATCTTTCCCTAAGCAGATTCTTACTCCATCCCGTTTTAAATTAATACTATTAATTAATAACGGGATTGACTGAAAAAATCATAATTCATGATTCATGTTCTTTCTGGGCTGAAAACTTCGGTAGGAGTCTAGAGAGGCAAGGGGGGCCAACAAGGGGCAGTAAAGTACTCAATACAATCATTCAAATGGAAGCCGACCGCCTGCGCGAAAACCTACAAACTCCGCGACAGCAAGAAACACTTCAAGCAATCACCTAACGCTGCAAAAGGCTGCTGCGCCTTCTTTTAGCAGCAAACAATCAAGCCACCAGACGAAACGAAATCATAAAAAGCTACCTTCAACTGGGTTCAAGCAGCAACCGATATGCACCCCGCTTGCCCCAACAAGAAACAAAATCATCTACAAAACAGCTTGCTCCGACAGATCCAATTCTGGGTCCGGAAAGGCTTCTCAAAACCGGCTTCGCTCAAAAGGGCCTCCCTAGTAATTCGGTGAATTTGCACAATGCAATTGTCTTTCCGGCTTGATAAACGACCTGGCGAGAGCCATCTGGCGTTGGACGGAAAAAAAACAATCAAGCTGGACTTTACCTCTGGCGTTGCTTTGTGGTCCAGGGCCAGTGCTGGCACTTGACCGAGGAGTACTTCTTGTCTGTGTCATTTCCTACCTGTTGCTCCTCCGCCTTTGTTTTTTTTTCCTCGGGTTTGGCCGATGTCGCTCTGAGGCTCGGTCCTTACATGAGCATAAGCTGTCGAAAAGATGTTTGTACAAGGACACAGTTGGTCCATACGAGCAGGCAAATCAAGATAGAAACAACAAAAAACCACAAGACCACCAAACCACGACGACCCGCAAATCCCCCAGCCAGACTTGCGTTTCGTCAGAGAAAACAGCAAACCAGACAGAAAACCAAACCAGACACACAAAAGGGGCCGGAGCCCGAACAAAACACCCACGAGATCAATCTGCCAAGGGATACAGTGGTTTGACCACTGCATCACTTTCAAAAACATGCGAAAATGAATTAAATAACCACGACATTCAAGTAAACATGAAAGCCTGGCCAGCTTGCCTGTCAACTCAGACATAGATGCGCCAAAAACTGTACATCAGCACGGGGCTACAACTTATGCCTCTCTCAGCGTCCTCTCAGATCAGCTTGTCCAGAAGGCCTCCATGGACAGAGTCGTCACAATAATCAATGTGAGCAAGAAAGTCGTGGTGGTCAGTGTGCCAGGTACCCCCCCAGCAGGGGGGGCGGACGGTGATGGCGCACGGGAAGCTTCACAGACCAGTGAAAAACTACCAAACTGCCATCGCAAACGTAGTGCAGACCCCTAGTTTCATAGGGGAGGAATGCAAACCTGCAATGTGATTGATCTCAGCCAGCGAAGCGCCTGGGCAGAACTCGCCAAGATGAGGACTACGCAATAGAATTGTCGTTGTGCAGATAGTATGAAGCCAATCAAGGCGCAGACTCAACACTCGGACAGCAAAAAAGGGGGCCGAAAATTAGCATGACTGTACACGCTAGTACCGCCATACTAGTGCTCCCTTCGGCAGCGTTGCTCTCGTTGTTGCAGGTTCGTGAACATGCAGACCACTGAACTGTTCAAGACATTTCAGGATGTCATCGTCCCTGAAAGACCTGCAGTGCTTTGCAGTATGCACAGTAGAAGGTTGTAGTGGATCCAAATCCATAACGCTATTCACCCACAGAATAGGCAGGCTGCAGAATCACCACATTCCGTCCACCAGCTGACGAACCATGTATGCAGTCTTGTGCTGCTCGCGGGCGCCCTAGGCTGTTCTACAGGGAGCACCACTGGATTGCTCCAGTGAGACTCACTGCAGCACAGTCTAGTCCATGGCTTCGGCCGGCTACCTACCGCCCCTCTCGGATAGACACGACCAACGACGAACGAATTCCAAAACAAAACATCGAATTACCCCTCCGCGGGAGGACAGAGTAAAAGAAGAGGGGCAAAGCGAAAAGCCGGGCCCTGGGGGGCGCCTAAACAGAAATTCCGTCCTTAGTCACCCTAGTGAAAACTGCTGTGTCAGTGCCTCTCAAACCAAAAACCTTAGTCAGCAACAAATCAAACAAAACAGGTCGACAAACTCTCACAATCCACTCTAAGCTCCCGACGCCTCGCGCCTAAGTGAGGGCAGGGAAGATTACCACAAGCAGCGGAGGGCAAAACAAAACCAACCAAACGCGAAACAAACACAACAGGAGCAAAAACCAACCAGACCGGACAAACAACACAACCAAAACAAACAAACCAAAAAAGGGGGGGTGCCGGGATGGCAGAGGAGGACGGGGGCGGAGAAGGCCGCACTTACCGCATTAGAATAGCAATAGTGCAGCTTAGCGGAGACCAATGGGGGACCTGGATCATCATCCTGATGAATACCTCAGCGTGGTAGAACTGAGCATCCTCACAGCACATGCAACATGGTGGAGAGGGTGATAAAAACCCCACACAGGGCCAGAAGCCTTTGCTGCCATGAGACAAAAATGAAGTAAGGACGACAAAGCACAACCACACTCCCAGCAGTAAAGCAGGGCAACCAAGCCGTCACAGATGCAACCAGATACCCAGAGGGAGGGACCAGCGTACAAACTGGGCCAGGGCGCCACACGGGACCAACCGCGGGGGGAAGGGAAACAACATCAGGCAGGGAGGGGAGCCAACAACAGCCAAAGAACAAGACAAAAGCAAGACAACAACGG